TTCTGAATTGGATATCCTAGATAGTTACCTATTCGGGTGTTTCCGAGTAATCATGCTTCCAAATCTGTGGCTCGATATACTTGATCAGCTTCGTCTGACTCATCCTGGTGTCAGCAAGATGTAAAACTAACCAGATGCTACGTTTAGCAGCCCAAACTGGACTATGAAATAGAAATCAATGTAAGAGGTTGCAATGATTATCGACAAAACGCCGTGTCTGCTGCTGCTCTACTGCAACCTTGGAAGAGGTCTTCTGGCCCAAAGTACTATTGTAATATTACCTATGTAGATTCATTTCTGGACAAAATGAGTTTGGTTGGGCAATTACTCCAAATATATCGAAGCAATCCCGATGAGTACTTTTTAGCAATCATTGAAAAACTTATACCGGTCTTTACAATTCACGGTTTTCCAGGCATTTGTGTGTCGTATAATGGTTATGGTTGTGTGTCGTGCAATCCATAAATAACACTCAAAATGTGGTTTAGATTAAAATCGTATCCAATATATCACATTAGCAAGAAGCAACTAAAGCGAAGAGAACATTTTACAATGTATACACCTGACAAATTGACTTTAAGAATACGCTAACTGACAAGTCAAAAGAATTTCCTGTTTATGGGCAACTATGTGTCTAGTGTAATATTGACAATGAATAGTTGAGATCCTCTTAACTTTCATATTAATATCATAAGCTGCTAAGCGACTAAGTCTTAAGCAATTATTTAATGATTGCTCTTTAATATTCTATTGACACGCCCGCTCACCCACGCATGTATAAACACTGAAATTTTGTGTACGTGTTAACTATTGTCAGTGGTAAAAATGCAAACAGCCAAATTTCGACTCGCAACTTTGGCTGCCATCTTGTCCACGGAACAATATCTTTGAGTATGATCTTTAAATCTACGACACCGACAAGTTATTAAAGGATACAAAGACGAGACAAATACATACAGACGAGTGCGTGTATGAATTTAAATAACAGCATACACATGCTTACATCTGTACATGAAAAGACACACATACACACACAAATACTATTATTCGGAACGTACTTATAGTTATACGTTCCGAATTTATTCTTTTGCCTTCAGAATTCATTATCAAAGTCGTTATATTTTCCATAATATATTATACTGCGAAATTTTTATTTAAAAATATTTTTAATAACCCATTCAGCTTCTTTTTTTTAATTAAATATAATGCAAAAATAAAGCTCTAAAAATGTTATATTTTGTCGTTGTCAAGTTATACACTAAAAATTTTCTAATATTTGACCACCGCCTATACCTGGTGGTGCAACCACGCTTAGCGGTCCGGTCCCCAGGGTCTTAGGACAACGCTTTAACAATGGGCTAACTCTGCACTGGTCAATGCTGACGCTGGTCCAAGCTGGTTGTTGGTCGCTGGCTGCTTCGATCCACACCGTCTCTGTCCACGCTATGTTCTTGATCACAGAGCAGTAGAAGATCGAATATCATCGTAGTCTCACAACGGTGGTCAAACCGTGGCGGATGCTATATTAAGAATAGTCTTTACGGCGAAAATTAAAACGAGACATTCGTGGGGTTAATCTTATAATGGTTTATATAGCTCTTGGTTCAACAAAAATTAACCCTTTCCGAAATCTCTTTAGTGACATTGAGCCTTATCTAAACTTCTGGGAGGCTGGGTTCAAAGGAATTCTGGTTGGCAGCTGGTGTGAATTTCAGAGGCTCTCAATGTGGGGTCTCAACCCAAAGTCTATGAGATCACCAAAGTCATCTTATATCCACTTCAGCCCAAACCTGGCGTGTGGTCGAAGGGTTCTTGGAATTCGTTGATTCTTTAATTTTCACATTAATTCTAAGAGCTTTCTTTGTTCCCTATCTCCGTTTTCAACTTTCCAAATTTAGAAAATTATCAATATTCCTTGAGAGTAGTCACAGGGATTGCTTTTCCCTTAACTCCAACTTGCTTCACTTCACATCTCTCACCGCTACTCTGCACAAGCGGGGCTAAACTCTTCTCTTTCCTTCTCGGTATTCTAACTGTGCTCACTTCTCAGGATGCATAATTGTCTTTGTGACAAATCTAATTTTTAAAATGCGTAGGATAAAGGGCGTGGTTTATTCTCCTCATTAATTTCAATTCTCTGACTCCTTTCGCACATACCAGAACACCTTCTTAGCACGACATGATTGACATTCATAACATCAACTCTAAGAAAAAGGGTTCATCTACTTCTTTTTCCGTTAATAATATGTGCTTTACTAATTTATCCAGAAAAACATTCTTAAAATAATTCTTTTAATCATGAGCCAACAGATAAATTTTAAATAGTTATTTGAAATTAACATTATATCATAATCAAAATACGTATGGAACGAAACTAGTCAATGAATTCCAATATTTGCTACCATCGTCACATTTTAACGTAAAAATTTTAACATGAAAGAATTTCATGAATGTATACATGTATCACCTGCACGAAAAAAAAATTGCATTGGTGGTGATGGAAAATAAGTTCATTCTTAGGTAACAATGGGAAATGAATGCTAAAGATATGCTACATTCGATGCATATATCAGTAAGGCTCCCACCAAAAAATTCGGGACATGCATACAGTGCGCAGGAACCGAATGTAGTTGTGATTTTGAATGAAGTCTCACAAAAATCGTTGGGATCACACAAAGGAACTACTTCGAAGGAGGCGTGGATACTAAATAATTTTTAAAAATTAGTTTTGTTTTCATGATCGGATTTAAACATGTTTATAAAGCGAAAGAAATATTCAGAAAATGTGAGCTTCGATATGTCTGTCAAAATGTTCCCCTCCTACTAAGCTTAGCGTAGCCGACACAACCAAAACCTAGCAACAATGGAATTCACTTGGCTGTTTTACGACACGCGCTTGTTGTTAACTGTTAGTACACATATGTAGGCACTAATATATATGTGTGTGCGTGTATGTGTGTGTATTATATACCGGGTGTAACAGTAAAATTGTCCAATTATTAGATTAAGCTTTGAACCGTTGTATTTTAGAAATGATTAAAGATATCTTACTGGAATCCTCCGAGATTTTTATAACACTGTTGGGCTCTTCTTTGAACAATAAGAATGTATTTAGCTCTAAGTTGAAATGATGATCCCTCTTCCAGTTATGACATCCCGATCCAGTTTTCCTCTCTGCTGTTCCCTCTTTTTTAAACTTATTCACCGTTCTCTTGATGGAACGGACTTTGAAGATAGAAACCAGCGTATGAATGTTGATCCCATTACTAAAGGCCTGAATGATTTTTATTCCTTTCACCACTGCTCATTTGGGAAGACTGTGGAGCTGACACAAAACGATTTTAACCTGTTCTCTTTCTAGCTAAATAACTCAAAGGGTTTTCAGTGATTCTTATGACAAATAGTGTGAAAATATGCTAAATGTTTTATCTGAAAACCTGGAAAAAAGAAACTGAATTAGTTTAGTGATTTTTTTAGATACTAAGCATTTTATGGGATGGACAATTATCCCATGCTGTTACACGATTTGGAAAATTTTGCTGTTACATCCGGTATATATATGATAAAATGTAGTTTTAATGTGTGATATACTTATGGGTTAAAGTGCTCAGTATCAGGGCTAGAGCGTATGTAGATATAAAAGTGAACATGTGCGTTTTAATCGATGGAGAAAATGGTCCTTCTGAGTATTTCTTTCTGCTGAAATTGATGTCTATAAGACCCAATCAATTCGATCTCGAAAAAAATAGATTTTTGCAGACCAACGCAACCTATCAATAACATTGTTTTTCATATCTAATTCCGATTGCTGCAATCATTTAGTATGATACTTTTGTAAAAAGCATGAAATGGAAACTTCACTAAAACTCATTTCCGACCAAGCTAACAAATTTCTTCCAGTTTTTTTGAATCTCGCTCTCCTTTTCACTCTTTTTTTATACAGAAAGAACAGCTTTCATATCAATTTTCGATCTGATGTTTTAAATGGATGAACTTTAATCAGCTATAATACTGTAATTAATTCGATCACACTTAATGAGATAGGATTAAAAAAAAGCCTTTTCTCAAATATAACCATTTTTTAAAACAATCTCAAGATACATTTGCTCTATTGGTTGTGGATAGGAATGTTACTTGAAAAACATTACGAATTCACGATCTATTAAGAACCGTTCTATGTGATCAATGCACTCCACTGAATTAAGAATGAGATTATGTTGAAAAATAATCATTAGCTGCGAAAAATAAATACTTTAGTTTTTAGCCTTACGCTCAGAAAATATTGATACACTTGGGAGGGGATACTAAAATGTTGTCGGACTAATCCACTTCCCAGAATCAGTGGTCATTTAAATACTGATTTTGGAAAGTGAGTTTGGCCAAGCACCACTGTGTATGTGTAAGCTTTTAATTTTAAATTACCTATTTAATCAAATATTGTGTAACAAAGATGCTTTGTTGATAAAAGTATATTTTAAGGCCTTTTCCTTTCTAACAAAAACATTAAAAATAATATTTAAATTTCAATTGTTTCGCGTGTCAAAATGGTATACTTTTTTTTAAATGCTTGTTCATTACAAAAGCACCATATTTATTCAAATATTATTATTCAAGTCTGTGAATAGTTTATTTAAACATACGACCACTCTCACTCACACACACATTTAACAGACGCATACATGTGCTTGGTAAACAAAGTAACGTTTTTTTTTTAATTTTTTACATTAATAATTTGAATTTAGTCACGTGTGTGGTGAGTGGAGTGTTCTAGTACACACCTTTAGCTTAAGTAACTGTGATAGATACATTATCCTATATACACCCACCTTCCTCATTTCTCATCTTAAATTACGCCATTAACAAACTGGAGCAATAAAAACTGTCGGTATATTTATGTTGCCTTAACAACAACGAAATCAAAAATCAAGTTTGCTTTTTACTAATTAAAAAAAAAAGTAAAAGTAATGGTGGCGCAATTAACAATACAATATAATACTTACCAAAGATTTCATCGGGTCGATCTCCTGTGCCAAAATTTAAGATTTTTTTTCCTCTGAAAAGTCCATAAGTTATGAGACCGCTTCGATTGCGTTTGTCTGACGTATTATTACCAAGATCGAACCGAGGAACCACTTTTACCCAGTGGTCAGAACTTAAAGCTATAACCAAAACGGTGACCCCTCCGAATAGAAATATAAGGGTCAAACCGATAAATGTTCGTTTCCGTTTATCCATCATCAGTCGATTTTTTGTTTAAATGTGTTTTGTCTTGTTTTACAAAAATGGACGTTTTTCCGGGCTTTTTTCTCGTTCACTTTTTACAATTAAAATTTAGTCCAAAGAATAAAAAGCCAATTTTTTTTTTTTTTAAATCAGAAACCTTTTTTAAATTATTAAATTTACTTTAGAAATGCCTAAAAAATACAAACTAAAAAAAAAAAAAAACAAACAAGAAAACAAAACAAAAAACTGAATATTTAAAACTATGTCAATACGTTTTCATTAAATTAGAGCTGAATATAGTTGAGGTTGACTATTTATAAAACATGGAACCAAGCCCAGTGTTATGTTTTATGTTTACGATGGGTTGGGGCTAAAAAATTATTAATGAATGTATGGTTACTCGATGTGATTTTATCTGGATAATTTAAAACAAGTGAAACCGTTTAGTTCTATTTTTAGTATAACAGATTACACAAGACAGGTAACAACTAAAAACCGTCCATTAGAACTTTTTTTCTTTTTTTCAACCTTTGTCGCTTATTTTATCCCTCGTAAAATGTCAGATATATCCTTTTTGCTTCATTTCATCAAGTATGTACGGATTATCGAGGCTTGATGGCATGTTAAAACATTTTCCTCTCCCACGAAGCAACTGCACTGTCTACCTGTCCTTTGATAACTGGATCAGAAACTCACCTGGTTTTGTTCAGGACAAATCCAAGCAGGCAAGACTGATAAGACTGGCTTGTTTACCTGACCGGCCAGTCACTTGCTAATTGATTGCATTTCTCCGCTTACTTTCTTTTTTTCTTCCTCTCTCTCATTTAAAGTTTTCTGCATAATTTGTAGCAAATTTTCAATTTTTCTTCACAATTCAAATTTGTCTAAAGATTTCAAAGAAGATAAACCAACTTTGGCCCTACACAAAGTCATGTTAGGGTATCAAGTGAGGATCGAACGCTCTATGTTAGCAGACGCTTTCAGACACGTATACACGCTCTCGCTCAAACAAGTGAAAGGAAACTAGTCCCGTTAAGATGTGAATAAGCGAGAAGCTTCGACATTTTCCTTGGGTGACTGACAGTGTTTGAATGTATTTGTTCTAGCTTTAAATCTATGATAATAGATTTAATGCTTTTTCGTTACTGTACGTGAAACTTTAGTTCTACGCTCTTTCGAGTGGCAGAACAATTTGATTGCTTGGTACATTAAAGAAATCTGAATTTGTTTTATGATTGACTTTCCTACGACTAGAAGTGGTAATTTAAATATTAGTCCAAATTCTCCAATACATTTCTTACTCAAAAGATGACATTTTTCAGAAAAGGAAAGACAAAAATATGAAATTATTAAAGCGATGACTAACAATTAATTCAAATTCTAAGTAGACTTGTATTGAAGAAGGACCTATATATATTCTTTTATATTTCTCAGAATTAAATGGAATCAATGAGTACGCTGGACAAATATACAATCAAGGAGTTTTTGAAGTTTATCAGGGTTAAGCCATTAAAATCTAGGGGCCTATATCATGTCTGCAGATTTATAAGAAATCCAGTTGCGATATATTAACGTTCAGTTCCCACAAGTAAATCAAAATCAGTATGACGCAATTAAAATAATCCACCTCCTATTTTTTTAAAAAATATTCAGATTATCTTCTAACTTTAATTATCTATTCACTATTTTTTTTAATAATGACCACTTTATTTGCAAAGTTCTGCTCGCCTTGATCGATTTATTGATTGACGTGGTTTGCCAGGCGTAACTATTTCAGTGATGTGTGTGTGTATATATATATATATATATGGAGTGGGGAGACCAGTTAGCTTAATGTTCCAAAGTTCTTTTAGTATTTATGCTTTTATTTTTAAAAAACAGTGCTCGATACGTTTGCTCGATTTTGGTGTCTCAAATTCGTAGTTCGCATCTTGGACTGTTCTTTTTGCTGACAACCATACATTGTCTTCTTACAATATTGAGGTTTCGTAATTCTTCCTTTCCGTTACTACCTTCTGTGGGAGTTCGTGTAGTTACCTTTCTGTGTCTTAACAAAAGATATGCAGATGGCAGTGTTGCTAAGACTGTGACCGCCAATAATGAATCCTAATAGAACTATTTTCTCACTGTAAAAGTTGAAGTCAGGTAATGCGTTTTTAATGAATTCACTTTCTATCCGCATGCAGGAGGTTTACTTCCAGTATAAGTTCTGGAATATTTATCTTTTCCAACTACGTCCAGTTTACCTAGCAGTTCAAAAAGTCCTAAACGCTTTTGCATAGTTTAATATAGGTATACAATACATCCTTCTGTATTTTTATTGATCTTTATTCTGTGCATAAATGTAGAATTTCTTGTTCCAGTGTTTAAAGAAACTGTTCTTGTCCTATTTCAAGTTCAATTCTGCTATGCACTCTATTCATCAGAATTCGGATGACAAGTTTCGTTATGTAACTCATTAGGCGGATTGCCAGATGGAGCTCGCATTCTTTTGCATCTGAATTAGTTAAGTATGAAATCACCACCACCAGCCAATGATTGTCTTCAAATGGTGTTATCGTGAGGACCCTGTTATGCCTACTTATTTTTTTTTTAAAAAAAACTTACGGTTGCAAAATTACTGCCTTCATGGTACATTGTTGCTCCCGGCCTAAATTTCTGCGGGAAAAGTGAACTCTTCGTATTCAAATCCGAATTATTACCAGTGATTCCAGAGACAACTTTACAACCGCATCAAGCTACTAAATATCAAAGCCCGATAAAAACCTTTTCTTCCAGCGATATGGGAAGGCTCTTTTCCAAATGAAGTAATATTTCTCTTACTATCCCATTTTCTGTTTAGTTTTCCTAACTTTTCGGCTATATACTCACTTCAAATAAACGAAAAATATTGTATGTACTTTGTATTAATGTTTTTGTTTACGTGTGTTCGGGAACCTACCCGTTTTTGCATAAAACCTTTACATAACTCTGAGTAGTAATATCGTTTGTTTTTAAGTGTTTTTGCCCCTCAAGGTTAATTTGTAATGAAAAGGAAAAGTGTTTTTTTTTTTTTTTTTTTATTTACAATGGGCATGATATCTTTTTTTCCTCTTATTTCATGCTTGACGCACTATCATAACATAACATGTTTTTTTTTTTTTGCAGTAAACACTTCTTTTATGATTATGCCCAATAGATCATTTTTTCATCGTCTGTCACACTGTTTCAAACAGCGAACGACAAATAGAAATACGGCCCAGTTGGTTATTTTCGCTTATGTTGGAACCACATATTAAAGTGACTAATAAACTGGTGGAAATGATATTCAATATACGATTTAGATATTTTGAATATGTCGACTAACACCCGCATTGTAGTATAGTAATTTACTAAGCTGAACTTAGATGTGGTACAAAGAGCACCTAATGAGAATCGAACTCAGTAGTAATTGATATGGCGAGACAAGCTTACTATTACAGTACACCACGTCGAATTACAATTATGATTTTCTAAGCTAATCTTAGATGTGAAACAAGGCCGAAAGTAAGGGGCAGCCAGTGAGGATCGAACTCGCTATTCAGTCGCAATTGAACAAGCAAAACAAATATGCTAACCATTTACACACTGTCAAGTGCTCAACTCCCGCATTGTAATATAACGTTGATGTTTTTTTTTTAGGTAATATCATCCTTAACTTACCTGAATCCTTGCCGTAAATCAGCATGTTGGGGGCATATTTATTTATGGATACAGTTACAGACTATTTGCAGTCTCTCTCTCTCTCTCTCTATGTTTGGATTGATGTGAGTTTGTGACCCTGGGTTTCACGCTATTTGTGATCGTCATTTTGTCTGATGATCGCTCACTGATATTGAGCGCTTTCCAATAAGTACCGCTCATATATAATATATAAATAATATAAAAATTGCATGAGTGTATATATATATATATATATATATATATATATATATAATTACTTGATTTTTTTTTCTAGTTCCTAAAAAAAACTGATAATAAAAATATGAATTACATATTTTATCTTCCTTGCCACATTGTTAAGCATCTATCTTGTACAATTTTCTAAACATCATGAACACTTAATTGAGGGGATTTGAAATAACATCGAAACAAATACGAATTTGACGGCAGCCAAACTCATAGCCGATAGGTTTTGTCTACAGTTGTTGGCCTTGAACTTGAATGTTAAATGATCCTTTGTTTTAATTAAAAAAAAAATTCCTCACTTAGATTTATCTTGCTGGAACCCGACTAAATCCCTTGGATTATTTCGTTAATCGAAATCGGATTATAATTGGAATTAAATGATGAAAAAATTATAATTATTCGGAAATCGGGGTTAACTTTTCTAATCAGATATTTAATATTAGACATGCACATTAACTTTTTAAACAGCCCATATAGTCATAATTTTCATTTGCTCACCTTTTTATGTAGGTATCTCAAAAAATTCGCTAAAATAAGAAGATACATGATGAAAAAATTGCCCTTCCCATCCTGAAAAAAAAATTTAAAAAATTAAAGAACGAAAGATCAAAGGATTTTTTATGTAGAGATTTTTTTTATCCTTTTTAGAACCTTAGAATGGAAATTGATTAAAAACCTTTCTGGTGTCAACGCGGGACCTTAAATTTGAAGTTTGTTTGTTTTTTTTTGTTTTTTTTTGGCGGGGGACATTCTTATAAAATGATAATCGTTAGATTTTAATGATACTCTCAGGACTAATTTTTAAAAAAATGAAATTATTTTGTAAATGTTTTAGAAAATCTTTGTAATTTTTTTTTGTGTGTGTGTGTCTTATCTGTTAACTGCGACTTTTATGAAATTGAGAAATTTCAATTTTTTTTATCTCTTAATGTTTATATTAGTGCTAGGAGAATTTAAATTTGGGGTGGGGGAGCAAACAGAACTTGTTACAAAAAATCTGCCCAAAATCGTAAAATAAAAAAAAATGGAATAAAAGTTATTGATTAGAAAAATTTCTTTTATAAAGAAAATATATTATGGACAATATTGTTTTAAAAAAATTTTGGATGAATAATAATTACAAAAATTGTTTCATTTTTTTTATTAGAAAATGTTTTATTAGCCAATTATCAAATTAAAGCTGCATTTACTAATAAATGGAAAAGCTCACTACAATTCAACGACCACCGGTATTTTATAAAGAATGAATTTTTGTTATGTGTATAAACGTGTCAATTTTTGTAAATGCAAGACACCCATACACGATATTATTAGAAAATAAAAGCGTCACCTATCAAATTTAATATGTAAAGCTATTCTAACATTTTCTCAACAAGCGTCTTCATAAGTAAGGTTATAAAGCCAAAGTACTAATATTAGAATACTTATAATATTTTAAAGTTTTAAGATTAATGGGTAATTAAAAAGAAATATATTAAAAAAAAGACGTTGACGTTGTATTTGTCATTTAATTTTTTGCAGTTCTGTTTCCCTTAAATTTTCTAAGCATCAAGCTGTCAATAAGTCACTCTATACATTAAAAATTAGTCATCGCTTTTTGTGGGTACCTACTTTTGTGTGTGTATGTATAAAACTCCAAAGAAAAGGGGTTCCTAAGGTTTAAAATGAAAATTTTTTCTTGGAGCTTTTATATTTTAATACGTTACATTTATTGGAATAAGTAATTATTTACAAATATTACAACGTAATTCTCTTCATTAAAAATCTTTACGAAAATAAGATATAATTTTCTGAAAGTTTGAGGATGATAAGCTGATTTAAAGTTTAATTAATCTAATTTGAAACATTACTTTTTAGTTTAAAGTATCGCAGAAAAACATTAACTCAGAGGTGGGTGTTTTATCGCGATAGACTGGTTTGGAATTTGTTTCTAAAGGAGACATCTGTAAAAATTAAAAGTGACTACCTTTTTTAGTGCAATTTTTTTTAAACTACAAAGTAACCTTAAAAATGTAGGAAATTTTAAAGTAATCTAATGTTTTATTGAATTTTAGGTGCTTTGGTAACTACAGTAAATTTAAAAGAAAACCATTCTCATTTTTTGATAATGGACCTCCTTATTTACAAAAAAGGGGCACGTTTATATATACACATACTCAACATTCTTTAAAATACTGAGGTTCTCTGAATTGTAAGCTTTTCCATTTATGATTAGTAAATATACTTTTTACTTAATATATCAACTAACAGGTAAAAATTAATACAGAAATTTAAGATTTAAAAAATTATAAATTAATATAATTAAGATGTTAAAAAAATTAAAACAATTCTTGTAAAAATTCATTATTCATCGGAAAAAATATTTTCTTCAGACAATAGTGTCCATAATCTCTTATTAATAAAAGCAATTAAAAGATTTTCTAATTAAATAAGGTTTTAGTTTTTTTTATTGCATTTTTATTTTACGATTCAGAGCAGATGTTTTGGAACAGGGGTACTGTTTGACAAAGCAGTAAATTTAAATTGTCCAAGGACTTGTCCTCATATAACTAATATAGACATTAAGCTCTACAAAAATGGATTTCTCGAAATTTCATAAAATTATATAAGTGGGTGTTAACAGATGTAAAGAATGGTTTAAAAATATAATTTCATTCATTTGTGAATAAACCCTAAAAGTTTCATTAAAATCCGACATTGATTTTTACAAGAATTTCCAAATCAATGTGTTTGTCAACGCAAAATGACGCTCACATACATAGTTACCCGCTGACGCAAGAAAAAGAAAATCAACCAAAATCTTGAGGGTTGTAAAAAGGATTAAAAATATAATTTAATAATCAAAATCTTTTGGTCGGTGCTAATATAGCGTGTTCACGTGTTTCGAAAATGTGAGACACATATATAATTATAAATATACATGTCAGATTTCACCTGACCTGATGGCCACGTGAAGAGAGGGGCACGACGTACTGAGGTAGACCTCACGCTATAGAAGCGCCCTTTTTGTCTCTCCTCTTATAAATTTTGGCGATAAAACTTTTTAATTTATTTTTAGCATGTATGTGAGTGTACGAGCATCACCAAAATAGATGCATTTTTCCGAAGCTGAATAATAATTAATAATCGCACTGTTTGAAAAAAAAAAAAAAAAAAAGCATGGATGTATCCGATTTAAACGAAACTTTCATTACTTATTCATTAATGAACAGGTCATTTTATTAGAAAGTTTTGTGAATATCTGGGGTGGGGTCAGTTTCCCCACCACCCTTTTCGATGTATCAGGTGTTCTTTTTTAATTTGGTTGGAGGATGTTTGCAAAATCTTTTTAAAGTTATATAAACAAATCTCTGAAGGTGTCATTTTAGTAAAATGCAATATCAAGTGTGACGATATTGAAAATTCGTACTAAACCTTAAAAAAAATTAATTCAATCATTTTTTTTTCTTTTAACAATTAGTTCTTACATAATTTAATAAAAAACATTTTCAGATTGAGCTGGGGAAAAATCTACATTGAATATCTATTTTAGAAAATAGAAGTGTAACAAGCGTATGTCAACAGAGGACCAAGGGAAGCGAACGCGCCTCATCAGCAGCCTTCTTATCTACGTGTGACTACAACTGAAACCTAGAGGAAGAAAAAAAAACGGAAAAATAAGAGACTGCGAATAATTAGTAGCGGTTTCAGGAAAGTAAGTGGAGTTAACCCCCACACAGATGTCAATAAAAAGATGTAGGCTCTGTCCGACAATTAAATTAAAACTGACTAAATTCCAACGACTATTCATACATTTTAGTAAATGTCCTTACTCATATGAGAAAAAAAGGAAATACGTACAAGCTTCAGTTGTCGATGAGTCAATAGGAAAGAAACCTTATTTCCAACACAATTACATACCCACATAAACTTTATTTTCTTCCTAATAACAGAATATTACAAACATGTCAAAATGACTCCACAATACAATACACCGTTAAAAATCAAAGTGTGTATTGGTTAGAAATTAGCATGTGAAATATTTGACCAATCAGAGAAAACTAAAAAACTATCTTTCTCGGGTCTACTTTCAGGAAAAATTATAAAACTCTACAGATTTCGACTTTCAAAGAGCAGAGATGCGACTGTCTCCAAGTCAAATACAAAAGACGTGGCTACATATCTCCACCCCCGTTTCGTGCTGAGAGAGACGTGTCGGCGACCTCAAATGAATCATTTCCGACGACAACAGAGACGGAGAGTGAATCTTCGCTGACGATCAGTCTTTTCTAAATCGCAGATTTTCTTTTTCTGTGAACCAACTGCCCAAAGATTAACTTAACTAAAGACTATTTTTGTACTTTTAACTTTATTGAATTCATGTATATATGTTTCTAAACAGAAATTATTTAACAGGCATACTCATGTTTTCTTTATTTTTATTTTATTATTGTTTGGAATTTGGACGCTTGGACATTTAATAAAAAGAAACTGACGATAGAATTTCCTACAAGTCTTTTGGAGAAAAGGGTGTCGCTTGGCGTAAATTCATGAAGACGATCTGGTAAACACGATAGTTTTTTTCTTTCAGACCAACACCGATAGATTGAAAATTATTTTTCTACCTTGTGATCTCTTACGTTCATAGTTTTTTTTTTTGTTTTGTTTTGTTTTGTTTTTTTCATATGTGCAAATTTCTAAGTTTTTTCTTAGAGCCTGTCGTCTTGATATATATTCATTGACCTTTTTGTGTGACTTTTTAACAGGCCTCTGAAATTTTTACACGTTAGAATAGATTTA